TGTGAGGGTCTCAATTCAAAACCACGTCTAACTTGTGTTAAGATGTCAGTTTGAGATTGAGTCTAATTTGTGTGAAAAAGTGATGGGTATCGCATTTGGGATTTTTAGATATTTGTAAATTACTGTCATATTGATTGTAAGTAAGTTCTGCTACAGTCCATCAAAATTATTTGTAAATACTATATACTTGTAGCAGCTTTTATCTTTTTAATTATAGTATCAAAATTTTAAAATGTATTTGTTTCCGATTACATATTTCAGACATTTCAATGTCAAAACATTTCTACTTTGAAAGTGATATAAATCGTGATTCAACAAACCTAGCTTAATACATCTGTTACACATTAGTGCGAATAAAAGACAAATTATTTTACCCAGCTGATAATAATCTTTATTGCTACCGCATAATGATTACAGACTTAATTTTTACAACTTAATCTCAAGTATTTAACAATACTCAAAGAATCGTGCCACGAGCTATATTATCTAACCAATCAACTCGTCCGTTTCAAACCTTATGGACCCTATCAAAACAGTTTCGCAGTGACACGCTTCCAGCCCTCTGACGGCCATCCATCTTCCAGCCCTGGACAATCTACGACTCTGGTGGGTAATCTGCGAACCTGATGGGTAATCTGCGAACCTGATGGGTAATCTGCGACCCTGCCATGGTGTACTCCCGTAAATTGCCGACCACCGAAGTGGCCAGCAGCGTGTGTCCGTGTCCTCTATCTCAGGGGTCAGGCCGGGCGATTGTTTACAGAAACCATATGCCTCGCTCTATGGGCCTTGACTGTACGGGGGAGGTATCGATACGTTTGTTTCCTTAATATATCTCCATCTTTGGGCTTTTGTTGTAAGTGGGAGGTATCGATACGTTTGTTTCCTTAACATGTCTCCATGCTTGGGCTTTTGTTGTAAGTGGGAGGTATCGATACGTTTGTTTCCTTAACATGTCTCCATGCTTGGGCTTTTGTTGTAAGTGGGAGGTATCGATACGTTTGTTTCCTTAACATGTCTCCATGTTTGGGCTTTTGTTGTAAGTGGGAGGTATCGATACGTTTGTTTCCTTAACATGTCTCCATGTTTGGGCTTTTGTTGTAAGTGGGAGGTATCGATACTCGAGCTTCCTTAACATATTTAAATTTTTAGGTTTTAATTGTGTTTACTTAACATATCTACATCTTTGGGCTTTTAGTATAAGAGGGAGGTATCGATTCCCCTGTTTCTTTTAACCTATCGTGCTTTTATTGTATGATGGTCGTATCGATACTCGTGTCTCCTATACTTATATCCTTCTTTGGAATTTTATTGTAAGAGGGGGGTATCGATACTTGTGTCTCCTTAACATATTTCTATCTTTGGAAGTTTATTGTCGTGGAAATATATCTATTATCGTATTTTATTTATGTTTGTTTATTTCTTATGGCTTAAACTAAACTAAAAAGTTATCGATTCTCGTATATATTTAATACTGTCTTTGCAGTCTCTTATTGCAATAGAAAGGAATCAATTCTTTTATTATATTATTCTTTGTTTCTATCTTATAGGTTTTTCTGTATAAGAAATGTATCGATTATTCCACTTTTGAGTTTTTACTGAAGTATAAAATAATCGATTCTGTGATTCTTAGCCAATGGTTTTAGAGTTTTTACCTCCTGCAATAAAAACGTATCGATGGTCCTTGGGCATTTGCTTTATAATTTTTTAAACACAAAATAGATGTATATTATCTACATTAAACTGCTTTGTTGATTTACTTTCTTTACAAAACTCATACACACAGAACTGATGCAAGTTAATTGGTAGCTTTCTATTGAACTTTTAAAAACAAACAATTTTGGTTTGCATGTCAAAATACGCTTGTAAGCAAGAAGTGGCTATTAAATAACAAATAAACAAAATAATACAAGAGAGAAAAGCATAGAATTCCTTAGCCTGGATTCATTAGATTAAAAAAAAAGTATCGCATTGTTCTGACTCCTGGCCCACCAGCGTGTCAGTCAAAGGTCATGGCCGTTATCGAACCCCGAGAGAGCATGTATTGTGTCCAGAGATAGCAGAGTCCCCTGGTTTTGCCAGCTACAAATTGCCGGGGTGCATCGCGTACAATGGAAGGTCTTTGTCCAGGGGAGCTAACACCCATTATGTGATTCTACTTCCATTCATTACCTGCCCTTGCTTTTGTTTTGTTTTTTAAGCCCAATTAGTAAAAATGAGTCAAGAAACGAATGCGGTGATGTTTTTTTTTTCCATGAAGTTCACACGATACAATTTTACGCAGGCTTATCTGGGATGGCTAAAATAAATAAACTTTCACATTCTCACAATAAAACGAATGGTAAAAATAAAATAAAATTATTTAAAGATTTTATTTATAATATTTTAAATCATTGGAAATATAAAAAAAAATGTAATAATATCATAGCAAAGTTTTTATATCATGTTATAATCGTTTTAAAAAAAAATACCACAAACAATGGAACAAAACGATAAACAAACCGTCAATTATAATACACATGAATATTTACAATAAATAAATTTTAAGTGTAGTAATTCAAAGTGATGAATTGCATGGTAACAATAGTGTGCATACGCTACTACTATAAATTAGTAAACACAAAAAATATTCTTAGATTAACATTAAATGATGTCAGTTTTTATACTCTGATATGCTTTAGCTTCCAGTGGAGCTGTATTATAATGTTTCTTTTTTTTTTTTTTTTGTATTTGTGAATGGAATAGTTTGGTGTGGCGTTGTGAACTGATTACATTTTTTACAATGTAGAACCCAACAATGGAGATAAAATTTTAAGAACACAATAATATTTTTGTATTTTTTGTTGTTGTTGAGAAGACTGAACTGAAATCAGTTTGGTTGTCTCTTTATATTGTTCAAACAAAAATTGACTCATCTAATATATTTAAAATTAATAACAAAAAGCGTTAATTTATAGGAATATTTGGCGTAAAAGTGTAATTTATATTTGATTTAATTAAAATTTTAAAACGAGTGCGTTATATTATTGAATCAATAAAAAATTAACACCCCGTATTTATCTATTAAAACACCAGAAGAGTTTTGCTTTAGATAATGATCTTCTTTATAGCGTTTTATTTATTCTTCTACGAATATGGTACATAAAAGATTTGGTGATTCTGCTTTGTTGTGTTTGATTCGATGTAAAATAGAACTACACAAAAGTTATATTGTAATTGTGGTTATTTATCATGTGTAAGATGTATTTGAGATGTAAGATGTGGGATGGGTGGGTGTGTGTGTGAGATCAGGTAATGAGCTGAAGAAATGTGGGTAGTTATGTGTAAGGTGGGGTAAAAAATGTGGGGAGGCGTGTGTGAGGTAAGGCACTGTGGTCAATAAACGTGGGTAGATATGTGTGGGGTAAGGCACTGAAGTAAAAAATTTTGTGAGGGAAATGTGTGTGCTTTAAGGCACTGATATGAATCAAATGTGGGGGACAGGTGTGTGGGGTAAGGCACTGATATGAATCAAATGTGGGGGACAGGTGTGTGGGATAAGGCACTGATATTAATCAAATGTGGGGGACAGGTGTGTGGGGTAAGGCACTGATGTGAAGAAATGTGGGGAGAGATGTGTTGGGTAAAGCAGTGAGGTCTTAGAAATGTCTAGAAGGTTAGTGAGGGATAGAGAAAGTATTAGAATAGACAAATCATTATTGTAAGGGGGAGAGTAAGGAAAGATAACTGACTGAGAGAGTAACAAAAATGTTTGCGGTAATGTTCAAGTGGTTTTTTTTTTTACTTTTGATGATAGAGTTTTGAATAAGAATTCATATAAACAGATGTGCTTGGCAAAAATTATTATTTTAAATCGATATAAAGAAGAAAAAAAACAGCATTTAAAAAAAAAGTTAATTAAATTGGTTTTGATTGTTATTGTAGAAAAAGGTTAGATGAAAATAAAATACAATAATCGTAATTTATTTCATTACCAATTTTTGCTATGTTATTTTGGAGCAAAGTTTGACTTGTAGAAAATGCTGCTAAGTGATAATAGGTGTAAATCTAAAAATGTACAACTTAATACTGATACATATATATATATATATATATATATATATATATATATATATATATATATATATATATATATATATATATATATATATATATATATATATATATATATATATATATATATACTTATCTAGCCTGTTGCATTGCGAGGTTAGTAGGTTGACGAACACATCCCCAAAGAAAGTCAATGAAAGTACTACACATCTTAAACAGAATGTACATGATGCCAAGTTTAAGTCTGGAAATTGTGTATCAGACATTGACGATGTATCCCGTGTGAACTTCAGATACCCTTGTGTAGTTTATGTTGGACAATCTTGCTTTCATATAAGTTTAGTCGACATAGCTAATCACAATATTTGTGTCACCCATGTGCGGTTTTTGTTGGATAATGTTGATTTCATATAAGCTTTGTCAATAGAGCTGATCACAATATATTGTGTCAACATTTCGAGTTTTCAAAAATGTATTGTTTTAAAGGCACTCTTGTTTTTATAAAACGAATAAACTATACTACGTTGTTAATAATTTTTAGCAATAATCGAATTCGAAATAAACAGATATTTTGTTCTTAAAACAAGTAGCTTGCAGTAAATTACAATACACATAATTTTGCCTTTAATTTAATTGTTTTCTCTTATTTAGCTGTGCTTGGTCAGAGCCAATCTTCAAATTATTGCTTGGCCATCTGTGAAGAAGTCGAATCTTGAAATGTTCCGTGTATCTATAATATAAGTCTCGAAGTTCTAAGCGTCAAGCATGTTATCCAACCAGCGTTGTGAGAATCCCTGCTTTATCTGCGGTGTGTTTACTCTGGGCAGTGAAGTTTTTCACTAACTTACCAAGAAGTTTAGAATCTCATCAAGATGATCGAAGGCTTGAGCTAGTGTTCAATGTGTTGTGGAAACTTTTTCCGGTGCTAGCGATGTTATTGACTTGAGCTAGCATTAAACTTGAGGTGCTAGCGATGAGGTTAACTTGAGCTAGCGTTAAACTCTTGAGATGCTAGCGATGAGGGTTAACTTGAGCTAGCGTTAAACACTTGAGGTGCTAGCGATGAGGCTGAGCTAGCGTTAATCTCTTGAGGTGCTAGCGATGAGGTTATCTTTAGCTAGCGTTAAACTCTTGACGTGCTAGCGAAGAGGTTGACCTGAGCTAGCGTAGAATGTGTATTTGCTAACAATGAAGTTAACCCGGTTTAGATTCGTTTTGTTTTGTTTTACTCGTGACTAAACCAGAATGGCTTCAGAGCTGAATTACATCCGGGTCAAAATGTATTTTAATGAACCAAAGCGACTTAAAGGGTAGGAATGGTAATCGGTCGGAAATCATCTCATCGATTTCCGAATAGTTTATCAAAATCGGTTCAAGAACTTTGGTGTCTTGGCGTCCCATCCCTATCACTTTGGTTTAGCCTAGAGTCACAGCAAGTGTAAAATTTTGTGATCATTTTGAAATCCCGAAGTGCTTCGATATAAAGTCTGGCTACCATGTAGCCCCAGTGTGCTACACTACCATGCCCGTATGCCAGGGTGTAGCTGCTGCTGCATGTAGCTCTGTTGCTGCATCTGCCCTGGCTGCGGCACGTGGGAGCTGACATTTCCGTTTGAGCAGTACGCCGCTTGGGCTGAGTTGTAGGCGAAAGGGTTGACGTTGTAGGGCGCCGAGTAGGGCGTCTGGGGCGGCCCCATGCAGGGCTTTCCGTCCCGTACTAGAACTGGCACCGCGACGCGTCTAGGCGGCTGCATGGCTTGCAGCTCTAAAGACTTGTCTTGACGCTGACGTTTGCATTTATAGCGCCTGTTCTGGAACCAGATTTTAATCTGCGTGGATGTGAGCTTCAAGAGCACCGCCATCTGCTCCCTCTCAGGCGCAGACAGGTACCTCTGCTGCTTGAACCTCCGTTCCAGCTCGTACACCTGAGCTTGCGAGAACAGAACCCGGGGTTTTCGCTTCTGTCTCTGTTTCAGCAGGGTGCAGTCCCCGCCGGAAGCGTCGTTGTTGGATGAACCGGAAGTCGAGGAGGATGACGTCGACGATGACGTCGAAGATGTTTTGGATTTGTCTTTTTCCGCGGAGGTCTGAGCGGCGGTGTCGTCGAGGAAAGAGGGGGTGTTGGAGTACTGGGGTTGGGAGGTGGGCTTGTGAGGCGCGTGGCCTTGCTGGGACGGGCCTTGAGGGGAGGAGCAGGTGCCCTGTTGTTGTTGGTGCTGGGACAGCTGGAGGTGGCGGTGGTGGCTGGAGGCGGGCTGAAGTGGCGACAGCTGGGTGCAACTTAGTTTTCCTGTGGGGGGAAAATAAAGTAAATATTAAATACTACATTAAAAGTTGGATTTAAATAAAAACGGAAATTGCACCCATAAAAAAATAATTAAAAACTTAAAGAAATTTATTTGACTATCGAAAAAAAAAACCATTAAATAAAAAAACTAGGATTTAATTTTGCAATAAAAACGTGAGTTGCAACGAAACAAAAAACAAATTAATTTTATACGTAAGAAAACATTATTTGTTTATCGAAAAAAAAACATTAAATTAAAAACTAGGATTTTATTTTGCAGTAAGAAACAAAAAAAAATAATTTTAAAACGTAAGCTAAAATTACTTATGTTAAGCGCATAGAGGATTTAGTGAGAGGTAAAGAATTAGATCAGTATATCCGTAATCCCTAATCGCTTTCGGGGCCCAACTTCCCCCCGGGGTACGGCCTCCCTTCTCGGCTTACTCGTCAGCGGACCTGCAATGTTGACAAAGCAGTTGATGCCGGGCTTGTCATGGCTTCTACGGCAAACAGCAGACGTCGTTTACGCCACGTCTAGCCGGTGTCTCTCGGTCTGACAGCATTGCTAATAGGTCCCTGGGGGTGGACGGGTTCAAAGGTCACGCCATGGTTACCGGAACAAAAGAGGGGTAAACAATGGGTGTGCTTTTATTGTTTAGTTTTTTTTTATCGACATTGTACGATTTACTGCAAGCGTGTATTTAAACAACAATCTTTTTTTAAAGGATTCAATGAGCAATAGTTATGCAACATAAGCAAACTAAAAACCCGAAGGGTGTCTTGTTATGAAACTAATAACAGAGATAAAAATAGTCGGTGCCTAATCTTTAGCTGCCAGAATAAGCTCGGGTCAACAAGAGCTAAGATTCGGATAGATTAGTGCAAGAGGGTAGCTTCGGGTCAAAGGTGAACGAAGCTTCTAGACTAGACCCTGGCGTCCAAACAGCTACCTCGATTGCAGGACGCGACACAATTATTTTTATATGGGTCGCTTAAAATTGAATTTCTTTGTTTCTGCGGTACCACATTGTGTGAAAACAATTCGTCTACACTGACACTCGCGATTTTTTAATGCAAGATATGTCATTATTTCACGTGAAAAAACTAGACAATTATAAAAACAATTAGTTATGTATCTAATAAATCTAGATGATTTATTTTAAAAGATACCTTAATATTTCGTGAATATATTTAACTTTGTTGTTTACTTGAAATTAAGCTCATTAGTTTTCCTCAATATAAATCAAATAAATAGATCCGATGCCCGTGTTTGTCTACGGGACTATTTTCTATATTTAACCAAATCTTTTATTTCCATGACAAACATATTTTTTTTTTCTAAAATTACACATACTTTTTAAAAAATCCTTATCTTGAACAAAGTCTTGTAAAACCAGCCCCCCCCCTTACCCACACTAACATCCACAGAAAACTCGATACGGGCGGGGTTATGCAAATTTTCGACAACATTATCAACGGCTGTCAACAGCGGCAGTGTGCACAAGGGATTGTCCTGTGTACCTAGGTTCTACACGTCCCCCTCAGGACCTGGTACCCGGCGATCTCGTCGATTCTCGTCCCGGCCCCGGGAGCGGCGGGAAGTCAGCTGAAATGTTTACCCACGGTTTACAAGGCGAGCGGACGATCAGTTCGGTCAACTAGATCGGGTCATGCGATCGCCTGTCAGGACATTATGATTGATCGAGTACATACATTTACACAACACCGACATTGGGATGCCATTCTATACGGCTCAGTGCTCTCGACATTCATTTAATCCACAACAAGACTTAAAATATATTTATCTTTCATATTTTTTAATGTTTTATTTTAACAGTAATAAAAAAATAAACCGGGAGTGATCTCCCCTAAACTTTCTCGAATATTCTTATATAAAACTAGCTGCATCCCGTGCTCCGCCACGGTAAATCTTTTTAAAATGTACCAACTTGGGAACAGAACAAAACTAAACACAACACAAACGAACGCAAAAAAAAAAAAAAAAAAAAAAACGAACAAACAAACACAACACTCATAACATAGACACAATTTAAATGCATTCATACAGGCATATTGCTCACAGTCTAGCCCGTAGCGCCAAATTGCGCCCTTTCCGGTGATTTGCACCCCCCTCAAACTTTCGATTTGCACTCCTTCCCCCCCCTCCCTAAAACTTTCGATTTCCACCCCCACCCCCCCCCCCTCGCACATTTTTTCCAACCCACTTTGGCGCCCCCTAAGGTCGGCACCCGGGGACATATGCCCTCCCCTCGCTACGCCTCTCCTATAAAACCCCTAACTTGTCCTCAAACCGAAAGATAGAATAATAATTAGTAAACAGTATAAATAATAGGCAGTATTTAAAATATCCGTGTTTCACCTAAATATTTCACTTTATCCATTCACGCATTTTTTCCCCCAGTACTTTAAATTTTAAAAATTTACAATAGAGTTTCATAACTAAAACCATTGCGCACCATCCACCCAATGAAGGTGATGACGCGCCTATAATATTGCGGAATAGTCGATTAAAAATTATAAATAGTAAACAGTAAATTCAGTGAATGAAATAAATAAAAGATTGCCTTTTATCAATCCATGCTAATTATAATTTTCTAACAATCCGCATCCGCACAATTTGCATTCACATTTTGCTAATTATATTATTGCAACACTAATTCCTTCTAGTACGTCCGTACATTTGCATTCACATTTTTTTTTATTAGCGTGAGTTAAATTTATTTTTGAATTACCTCCCTTGTCAAAATTAGAAAAAAGAGTTAAATTAATTTGATTTTTCTAGCCTACTGTTATTACATTATTAAAATGTTTCCACCTTTCTCAGGCATAAAAAAGAAAACAATATTTGACATTGATCCTTTTAATATGTTTTAGCAATGTGCGTGTATTTAATATTCTCTTTACGTTATGCAAAATTGTACAAACAGTGGAAATTATAAAATAGCTCTATGCCGCTATATAAACAAACCCTACTCTAATACTTATAATAAGACACTGCGGTGCACTGAAAAGCACAGCATGGTGCGTAGCTTACTTTTATAGTCCCAAAATCTATAGCGATGACGGACGGAAGGACACGCTCAGCCCGATTATATTATAGATAACAGGGGATGGGAACTCGGGCTATAGACATGATTTTTAATCCATTTTAAATACTTAAAGTTTTAAAAATAGAATAAAATCTCGTAGACAGATTAATTGAACACCAAGTGAACGCCAAATAAAAACGCGTATAATAGTGCGCAATATTATTAGTACTTTAAAAATTTACATTAGTTTTTTGAGAAATCGGAAGTAGCGTAAATTACTACTTCCAGTCAACGGAAATTACTCAAAATTTAACAGAAGGTAGAGAATTAGATGTTTTACTTACATGTGAAATTTCATTTATCTATCTGAAATAGTACTCAAGTTATAGGCTTTTGAAAAATTCAAAGTAGGAAAAGTACCACTTCCGGTTATCGGGAATCGCTCAAAAGTTGATACGGATCTACGATTTTGATAAAATACTTATATATGAAATTTCATCAACCTAGCTGTAACGGTACTCAAGTTATCGTGTTTACACACGGACACACACACACACACACACACACACACAGACACACAGACATACGGACAAGATTGCAAAATTATGTTTTTCCGTATCAGTGAGGTGTAAAACGTCGAGATTTGTAAAAATCTCGATTTTTTTTTTTGCACGATTACAAGACTTTCTCTATACTTCGTATATACGAGAAAGTAATAACATTTTTTAACAATAACTTTTTCGCGTTTTATGGCATTAAAAAAATAAATAAATATAAAGTGGTTATATATATATATATATATATATATATATATATATATATATATATATATATATATATATATATATATATATATATATATATATAAGCATATGAAAGCTAAAATTCACAGAAGTCTTATATAAAGTATTCAAAAAATAACGAATAGCCTAACAGGAAGTGAGATCTACGTTTCAAGATAAACCACGTCTTCAGTCTTTTAAAATCTTTATTTTATTATTTTTTACCCTCCTACCACCTCTTAATTTTCCACCGCCCCTCTGTATATTTAATGTTTTCCTACGTTTTACCCCTTTTATTCTACCCCTCCCCCTTCCTTCCGTCATTAAAGGTTGAGGTCGCTGTTTTATTTTTTCCCGACCCAATGAACGCTCACTTCCGAGTGTCTCAGCTCTGGTGACGTCCAGGCTAACTTCCCCGGACGGTTCCACCCGTGTCTGGGGCTCGTTATTTTAAAAACCCATGCCGCATTGCTTCCCCGGAACAATCCGGCATCACGGCTTCCGATCCGGCAACACTCAATTATCATTAAAGACGAAATTACCCACTAAAGCTGCCGTCTTGCCTATGATAGATGAAAATATAAATGAGTGGTAAAAAGAGGTTTTGGTTTCGGGAAATTTAAAAAAAAAAGTTTTCTTTCATATGCTCTTAATTTTGCCGTAATTTGGAGTTATTCCCCCTTGTCTATGCCGGCGGAGAAAAAAAAAACGGCTATAAAGAAGGGGAGATAATTATAAAACAATTTCCAGTCCCGATTGGTAATAAAGAATTCATAATTCCACCCCCTTTTTTTTTCTTGCTTCACTATTCGGTAAGTGCTTTAGGGAGGGCTGGGATAATTTATGAAAGAATGTTAATAACGAAAGAAACCGATTCACCGGCGATGGGTTGCGGGTTAGAGCCTCGTTGCCGGCTTCGTTTAAGTTTAACGCTCGGCATTCGAGGCCGGGGGGTTTTCCGGGCGGCTCCCCTGCTGGGCGCCATTAATGAAATCACATCACCGGGAAGCGAATAGGCCAAGACTCAAATAAGGCACATCTGTGTGAACGCGAGCGCGAGTCTAACGAAGGCTTCTTACCGCAACACCCAAGGAAATAAATCTTTCTCTTTATGGCTTCAGTTTTATACTTATATGAATAATATAGGAATTATTTTTTTTTATTTTTGTAT